TCTCTCTCTCTCTCTCTCTTTCTTAGACTCCGTCTCTCTTTGTGCGCCGGCTCTGGCTCAGGTGCTGCTGAAGCTTTATGCAGCAGAGGCTGACGCTGAGCGCGCGGAGGACACGCTCCGCGCCATGCGGCGAACATCGCTTCAGCCGCAGCTCACCTTGTTTGGTTTTGGGCGGTGCGTGAGGCGCAGGTTCCTCCGAGAGTGGTGCAAGGCTACACAAGCAGGTGAGAGATTGCTGTCCCAGGAACTTCTTGTGCTACACAGCCCTCTTGGGTGCCTATGCAAAAAGAGGCCGTGCCTTGTGAAGTTGTGCCGTAGATTTGCATTCCATCCTTCGGCGGTGCTCTGTGAGGTGATATTCTCCGGGCGACTGGGGTGGCCGAAGAGCTGCAATCAATCCGTTTGCAACCGGATGTCGTCACGCAAAGTCACTCGCCTTCTCGACGTGGGCACTTGCATCCTTCCATATCAAGTCGTCTCCGTTGCAAGGCTCGCTGATACTTGCCCACACCCGTGCTGGCGACCTTCAGGGTGCTGAGGAAGTGCTGAAGGGCATGAGTGCCTGGGGACTGCTGCCCAACGTGGCTGTGCTTCTATTAGTCGGGTGAAGTTGGGGTCCCACGCCTGGCCAAGCCCCATTCGTCGACTAGGTGGTGTGCTTCGCGACCATTTTGGATGGCTACGCCCGGAGAGGCCCTGGCCATCCTTCCACTTCATCCACACTTCACACTTCCTCCCGGTCCGCAGCTCTGGGTCAGGCGATGTGCCCCAGGCCGAGCGACTGCTCTCGGCCCTGCGCTCCCAAGGGCCACGCTCTCGGCCCGTTTTCCCGTTTTTGGAGAGCGGCCACGCGGCGCCCACTCGATCCGAGGCTCCGGCCCAACGTCGTCGTGGCCTCTGCCATGGCCAAGTGCAGGGCCAACGCCGGCGACTTTGCAGGAGCCGAGCCGAAGCGAGCCGAAGCGAGATCAGAGCGCCTCTCTCTCTCCTCGCAGGAGCCACTGAGGAGCTGCGCCGTTTCCGCTCGCTGGGCCTCGTGCCCAGCCAGCGCAGCTTCGCTCCGGTCCTGGCTGCCTGTGCCAGGCACGGGTCCCACGGGTCCTGTCAACTTTAAGGGCTTTGTGACTTTGTGATGCTTTGTGTCAGTGTTTCGGGTCAGGGCGGGCGACGCCGAAGCAGCCGCGCGGCTGCGGGCTCTGGTATCGGCGCAGGGTCTGCGGCTGGACCTGCCGTGCACTGTAGCTCAGTGCCAGTGTGCTTCGTTTGTCCGATGCTTCTGCTCAACGGTTCAAGCCGAGTTTCAGCTACTCCACAGCCAGCAGAGCAATGCACGGCATCAAGAGCCGGCAGCCACCAGCAAAGTGACCCATTGAAGAGCTGTCTGTCACATGCAAAGCGCCTGGAGGACAGCAGATGCCGTGCTGCCTTGTCCCACGCGCTCGCAAAAGAGAAAAATCCTGGCAGCAACAGCCATCACTGGTGTATGTGGAGCATGGACGCATCGCATCTGTCGGCAGTGCTGCTCTCACATCATGTGCTGCGCGCAGGCTCATGAAAGAAGACTGCAGCCCTTGAAGGACACGGTGTGGAGCCGCATCCTGTGTGGGGGATTAGGGGCCTTGCCCTGGACTGGGACTAGAAGCGGTGTCGCCGAGCACGCGCGTGCAGAAGAGATCGGCCTGAGAGCCAGGAGCGCACACAGCCGCATTTCTTCATCCGGTTGATATATGCTACGACGGATGGCCCGGTGCCTCGGAGAGATGAGGCATGACTCCTCGACTCAGCAAGCTTTCTGCTTACGGCCGAGAGAGAGGGCTTTCAGAACTTTGAGGGCTTTGAGCTCTGAGGTTCCAACATTTTCACACCCGAGTACCTGAAGCGGATTAAGCGCATCGAAGACAGGCCCCGCCCGATTCGATGCGGGATGTTGTCGACACAGTGCAGCCAGCTCCATGCCCAATCCATCTGGTATCCTTTCTGGGTGAAGCTAGAGCGTAATGTTGACAGAACCGTTGACGTTCTCTGCATTCCTGGACATTCCTGTCATTTCTTCATGGGTCCTTGGACTTTGAAGTTTCTTCCTTTGGGCACTCCCTCCGCCTGCAGCCTCTGGCGTACCATGACACGCATTTGCAACAAGGCCCACTCGGGCAGGAAGCCGCAGGTGACACAGGACAGCGGGAAAAGTCATAGCGGTCAGGCTCGAGACCTTGCCGGGCTACCGACGTTTCTGCCTCGCTGATGGAAACGGCCGCTGTGTGCGGCCGCTGTCGGTGCAGGGCCGAGAGGGTTCGCCAGGTCAAGGTTTCGTTCGGTGTTCATGAGCTCGCGGCCAGCGAGGCGGTCAACTATTTCTTCGCCAGCATGGATGCTAGCACAGGCAGCCGGACGTTGATCCCCGAGTGCTTACCCGCTGTGCATTGCGGTTCCGTGGTGAGGCACCATCACGCCTGATGGTCGAGGAGAACACCTTCTTCCCATTCAGGCAACACCATAAAAGCTAAACAGAGCGGAGACTTTAGGACGACCGCCGAAGAGATATGATAAGCTGTTTAACCGCATCGTGCGCAGCAGTTGGCCTGCACCTCTATGATCGTATGTGTGACAGGCGATCTTAGCGAATCTTGGCACCAGCAACTCCTACTTCGTGGATAGGCCAGCATCGGCAAATTTGGGCACACTGGGCAGATTCTTGGTGTGATCTCTGAGACTTCTGCCAGGTACTTCGGTGTCTCTTCGGGTCAGTTGAAAAGTGCCCGAGACTGAGGTTCCTCTCCACTCTTCCCACTTTGAGAGCCAAGAGAGTGGAGTACTTGAGTTGAGGCTCTCGAGGGCAACGTTACTCGCAGCGTCCTCCGCTTCGGATTGCCCCTAAGGCCTGGCCCGAACACGGCCCTGAAAAGTCTAGAAAGTGCCGGACTGAAAGTGCCTTTGCTTTCTTTCGCTTTCTCAGGGGCTTTCGGAACACGGAGGCCAGGCTTGCAGCACTTGACAAACCGCGGCTTCTGCACTTGAGAGGACCATCGACAGGCCGAGATGTTCGGGGAGTTCGTCAGGGACCAGCGCGGGGCCCGTAAGAGCGAAAGAGAGACTTCCGACGTTTCCGCTTGTGCCAGGCTCCGGCCCTACTTGATGGAGGCGTCCTCGGAGGCCCAACGCCTGTGCAGAGTGGCAGGACGTCGCAGGCAAATTCAGGACACTTGTTTCGCATCTGTTGTGTGGATTGCAGAAGCTGCGTGTCTACTTCTACGGGGACCAGGTGACCCAGTTAGAGGCTGGTTCACCATTGTCTTGAGACTGTCAGCGCATGTTGTTCCGTGTTGACATGCTTACTGCAAACTGCAGTTGCGAGTGAATTCCATTTTGGGTTGAGCATCGCCTCCAGCACAGATGTGTCTTCAGATCTTCCAAGGTAAGGGGAATCCGGGTTCCATCTCGGGATGCCCTGGAGCTGACGCCATGAATTCTCTTGGTCAAGTACAGGTCGAGTCGGCAGTCTGGCACGACGCCACGTATGCCATCGGGCTCGTGGTCTCAGCTAAAATCGAGCACTTGATCCCGGAAAGCTGGTTCGCTCAACTCGCAGCCTCGAGCCTAGGTCTTTGCTCTTCATCTTTGTCTACTTGGTGTTCTACCTTAGGCCAGCGCCCATCGGAACTTGCGCAGTCCAGGCTAAGTCTCGACTCATGGCAGCTTGTACGAACTGCAGGTCTGTCGTTCTGACCGTCATGGCCTTGTTCTGCATAGCTCTGTCGTTTCCCATATCGTGCCCCGGGGCTAAGCGGCTCGTTCTTGGCGTGCTACGCCCAACGCCCCGTTCGGCTCAACAACTGCACCACTGTGTGTGATTTCTGAAGTTGACACGAGCAGAAGTGCTGGTTTCTCAGTACAGGCTCCGTGTCCGTGGTGAAGCAACATGAGATGCTAAGGACAGCTGCAAGCTTAACGAAGGGTCATCTATGCTCTTCAGAAACTCGAAGACTGTCAAACCTTGTCGTGCCATGTTGGCTGGGAAGCGGAGGGCTCTTCTCCTCGCCAGGCAGCCTCTCGCACTGCAAGAAGCATCTTGAGCTATGACGTTTGCGTGTGCACGGGCTCGATGGCAACGATACTAGGTTTCGAACTCTCATTGTCAGAGGTAGAAAACCTCCCATGCAGTCGCGAGTGCTCTCACACCTTCCCAGGCCTTGCATTGCTGTGACTGGCCGCGCAGCCATGGGTGTCCTCTTGCGGCAAGTAAAGTTGGACGTTCTTCACAACTCGTGGCACCTGACTTCAACCCCAATCTGTGCCACGTCCAGAAACCCCTTCAATCCCTGGCGAAACCCGCCGCTGGAAGCGCCCCAAAAGAGTTTTTGAGAGATCTGTAAGGCACGCTTGAGAAAATCAGGTACGAGTCACGTGATGTAGCAAGTACTCAAAGCATTTACTAGAAAAGACAAGAAAGGAATAGTCACAGTGAGTAGGAATAAGGACAACTATGGAAACTATTGATCAGAATATCAGTTCCAACGAAGATAACCGCAGCAATTACAGAAGTCTCACAGCACAACGACAAATCCGATAGGCACTTTTGTCACCACCATACTCATACGTAGCACAAGTACTCTCGTGGTTATCGCTTGTGCATCGTCTTTGCCGATCAAATGCTTTCATGTCTGTCAAAATAAAGTGATTAGCAGCCGTGCAGAGTCGGAGAAGTAGCAAGGTTATTGGAGGTAGCCTGGTATTGCCTGGTTGAAAGCCGTGACCGAGTCTGAGCACCCGGGATGCCAAGGTCGCGGTTTCGAGTTCCAAGAGCGCGAACGAGGCCGAGGCCGAAGTTGGCTCCGAGGCTGCCGAGGCCGTATACTGAGTAGATCTGAGTAGTACTGTTGGTTTTTGGGTGCTTTGGCTCTCTTTGGGTCGGCCTTTTTGGCGGCTTGGGGCAACGGAGGAGCGCCCAGCTGGGCGCTTGCAACGGTGGAGCCTCGGCAGTGACCGCAGGTTCTGAGCCCACTTGGGCCCACTTCGTAGTCTCGCTCACTTCATGCAGTTTTCGCTACATGTGCACCACGCTCTTCTCAGGTGCACCCCTTCAGTTCCAGGCCTTGGGCAGAGAGTGCCGAGTGCCGAGTGTCGTCCTCTGCAGTCAGGGGTGGATGAGGAGCTCGCCACTTGCGACATGTGGCACGCACTCCTCTCGAAAGAGGCCACGCTGAGCTGGAGCAGTGCAGTGCAGTGCAGAAGCCAAGACCTGGTCCCAAGGGCTACATACGCCTTAACAACTTCTCCGGTGTCCGGATACGGCGTTGGTGTTCCTGGCGGCGGCAACGACAGGCCTCACTGCTTAGAGCGCGGCAGGTCAGGCTGTTGAGACAGATGGGGGGTCGCAGTGCCAACTCCTACCAGTGCACTTGGATTCTCAAGCAACTTGTTTCTGGCAAGCTGATATCTGCGTGCACACAGCACCAGCACAGCTAGCCAGCGACTTGGCGAGGGATGGTGGAGACTGATGCCACACAGGCTTTGCCAAGGCTTCGAGATCAGAATAAAACATATACCCGGTAATATACCCTTTATCCCAACTTAGCGGGATTTTCTCCAGTCCTTGGCCGACTGCAGCCGCGTCAGGGAACCCCGCCGAGCGCCCCAGCTGTTTGGTGCAGTCCAGACTTGGAGGAGGGAACGTCTGCTAGCTAGGAAACATTGCTTTCGCCGCCCTGCGCCGCTAAGCTCCTGTCAGGAAGACGGTGATCCCTGGGCAACACCCTTGCAGGAGTGAGGGAGCAAGCTCCTAGAGTTTCACGTCGTCGGGTCGTGGCTGCAAATTCCGGGACTCGAGTGGTTCCTCTGCCCGATTTGAAGAGGGCAAAGTTCCTGGCAACTCTTGAGCAACTCGCTTGCAATCTCCTCCATAGGACAGCGCGAGGCAACGAGAAAGAAGTGATAGAACGCCTGTGTTTGGAAGCAGGCGATGATTTAAATGCGCGCAAAACAAAGTGCCAGGTACGCTTGCTATTGCTTTGTGTACGGTCACGGCAAGATGATTGCGATCAATTTCCTGCTGCTGGGCAAGCATTTGCTAGAACCAGCATGATGGTCAGTGCATCGCCCAAGGCCTTCTAGGCGTAGACGCAGTCTACTGATGACGGATACTGACAGAGTTCTCGACGACAAAGGAGAAATCCATGACGGAAATCCAGTCACCACACTGTGCAGTGCTGTACGAGCACGAAATTCCATCTGTCCTAGCCGTTAGTAGCTTCCACTTGCCCAGTGTGCTGCTTGCCTTGCCATCCCTTGCAGCTGGCTGCAACATTGATGAGTTTCATTCCGTCCCAGCCAAGCACAATGGCTTTGACCGCAGCGCTGCACGGATGGTGTCAGTTTGCATTCTCTGAGCTCAAAGCCGCGCTTGGCTTGCCTTAGCGCGACGATTACGCTTGGTTGCACCATGTTGAGTTTCATTCCGTCCCAGCCAAGC